TTGAACTACTACAGGTTTGGATGGGAACAAATAGGTCAGCACTTCCCAGAATATGCAAAATACTGTACATGGTTTCATTGCAATGATTCAAAATAGGGAACTATGTCTCTGTCATATACACATACATAATTCATGGTTTGTGTTAATGTAACACCGACAGATCCTGGTCGTTGGCAGGCAAGATTGGACTTGGGGCCTTTGGAGCTTAGTGCATGAACCTCTACTGCATGAGCTAAAAGCCATATGACTCTTAGCTAAGGCTGACAGCAGACTCATCTCTCTCTCTTTGCCACTAGATGGGACAGAACATCACACTCAGGAGGCGTGTGGGTAACATTAATCTGTTACAAGTATTATTTTCTTAATATCTTTTAAAAAGTACTAATGGGTCACAGGGAGAGGATAGTCTAGCTCAGGCTGTGGGAAATCAGGGCCCAAGGTAAGGTCATGGACTCCTAAACCACAATATCATCATTAAATGAACAGAAATACCCAAACTAGACAGCATTATTGCTATAATAAATCATTATAACATAATGCTTGAGGAAAACAAAAGTACTTGTGGGGCAAGTGAGGTGGTCTTTGTGAAGAACCAGGAATTTCCATTTGTCAGATGGGGGCTGCTTTTATTTTCTGGTCTGCTTTCTAATTTTTTAAAAAAATATAATTAAAATATTTTAATATTAAAAAATCATACTCTCCAAGAGGAGCTATTCTGCTGGTACTATATCATTTCAGGCCTTGTTTCCTTTGTGCTAGTAAATATACCAGCTTCCTGTTGACCACCCTCTCCTGGCTCCCTGGTCTCCCTTTCCCCACGATTCCTCCTTGTGAAGAGAGATATTAGGTTACACATATGGGAGTGGCCATGCTAATGAGATGATGTAATGCTAGCATGGCTATGCTTGTGATGGGCCTCTGAATATGTCTGCTATGGAATAGCTAATTCTAGAAGCCTGAGCAGACCCAGACTAATTCATCTCAAACTGATTGGTGCAGATTATAAAAGCGCTGTGCTTTTTTTCAAACAGCCTGATGTCTCAGTGGCTACACTCCCCTGATAAGCTGTACAGGTCCCAGAGAGGATGAAGTGAAAGAGCATACCAGTTTCCAGGCTTTCCAATCCCAAGCATTCAGATCATGAGTCAGGCCTCAAAAAGCCAGAAGCTTTAAAATAAACAAATAAATAAATTAAATAAATGTCATGTTCTTCTTTTTCCTTTCTGGTGTCTGAGCCTTTACGGTGCACCCAGGTCATGTTCCCCACAACCACGGGGGTTAGAAACTTCCTTGACCATCTTCTGTCTTCCTGCAGTGTGCTGATTCATCCCCAGGCACAGGGGTCCCATGGGAAAATAGTATACCATCATGTAATTAAAGACTATTATAATACATACACACAAGGGGGCGGGGGGAAATTAAGGTTGCCCAGGCATAATTATGGGATTTCCTAATTTTAGAGTATTTGGCTTTGCAACCTTAACATTCGTTTAATGTAGTTTTTTTGTATGTAATTATTATGTATACAGCACCAAATATCCAAGGTACTTCCCAGGACGAATAGAACGGCAAGATTCTTGTGCCTTGCCTTTCTATTTTTGTCCCGTGAACAGCATCAGACAAAACAGAGGAGCTCTACAGTATGGGCAGCAGCAGCTCTTCTGAAGCCACTGCCCATCTGAAGACGAAGAGCAAGCAGAACAGTAACCAGACCAAGACTCATTTCTTCCCCTTTATTGAGATGAGGAGGAAGAATGATAATAACTACAGCCACCACATTAAGGACATGAGACTGTCCAAGGGGTATGCAACTACTGTGCCACCATAATAACGCAGCATCCCCTCCCCTTGTTCCTGGCCAAATCAGCTTGTCAGGGGTGGGGAGAAAAAAGGATTCTGATCCTTTCCCTCTATGGAGAGGTGAATAGTGGCCACTCGACAATGTTCTTCAACTCCCTGACTGCTGAGACTCTCCTAGATGGCCGTGCTTTGCACAGGGTGTATGTGGTAGGGAAAGAGACACGTTTGCATCCTCTTCCTCTCTTGTGCACCAACAATCAGGGGACAATCATGATGATCTTGTCCTAAATGTCTTCTTCGAAAACACACTTTCATGAGCAGTTACGCAGTGAAGGTTCTGAGGTAAGGCTGAGGAGAAATTCTTCATTTCTACATGTTGACAACCTGATGCTTTTTTTTAAAAATCCGGAGTAGAAAGAAACAAACACTGAGCATGACGATTTTGTCCTTAACTTTCCCTGTATCAGTAAAATGAAGTAGGGAAAGGGGTATACTTTTAATTTCATCCTCTTCCCAAACTTCAAAGAATAACTGCCAAGCATCTTTTTAAACCCATTAATTCCTTTGCCTGAACAGAGATTGAATATTCTTAACTGATAATTAATATGCCTTTTACCTTTTAATTAAAAAGTTAGCTGCCATGGGTAAGTGCCAGGTAATATTTGAATGCTGGGTATTTTCAAATACTCTCTTCTGCAATAAGCAACCAGTCAGAGTGGAGACAAGGAAGCATTATTTATGCTTCTAAAGGTCTAGGGGATTTATAATGACTGAAGCTGGACATTGCTGAGGGACACACAGGTTATCAGAGAGCAGACATCTTCTCGTTACCAGCATCACTATTTTCTAGGCTGACCTAGAAATGGAGTTTTATATTTTGGGGTTTTTTTTTAGGAAGGAGAGATGATTCATATTACACAGTAAGCTCTATCCCACATGTCTCCTGATGTAAGACTGTCAATTTTTCTAAATTACGTCTGATTCTTTTGTGACATTGACAACTGTGGGACTCTGCTGTAACCATTGACTCATTTCCCTTGCATGAGCCCAGAGGTTAAACTGCAACTAAGGACCCAAGTGATTAAAGTTTATTTTATATTTTAAACCATTCACACCTTTGAAATTTGGTTTAGTTTTATATTTTTCATGTTTTAATTGAGTAAGCTACCAGGTAAGTGTGAATGACCAGTCTCAAAACATACAGTGATTGGGGATTTGTGTGTTAAACCTATCACTATTAAGGAATTAATTAAAGCCTATAATTATAGCATGCACAGGCTAATTAAGGCTGAGCTCCAAATTCCATTCTATACCCCTTCCCTTTTCTGACATACATACCTTCGTCAAACAAAAGCCTTCCTATCCGAAGTTCCCATGCTTGGTTTCAGCCCTAAAGTGATTTTTTTCTTAAAGAAAGTTTGAGCAAAATTGGTTCAGCTGCTCTTGAGTTTATTTAGCAAGAAAGCATAAAAACGCAAAGAAGAAAGTTTTCTGCATATGTGCCAATCTGAAATATTGTGCTGGGTTTGGATAACTCTTCTGTCTTGTTTTTCAGTTACCATTAAAATACAGATCTACGCTGAAAAGTGACTATAAAAAACAGTACTTGGAATTTAATAGCTATTGTCTCTCAGTGACTTCCAGTTCAAATGCACTCAGTTACTAGCCCTGCAAGTTCCTCCTGGGTTCTGAAAATCAATCAAGATTCCAGCCAATTTACATATCATCACTAGTTATAAAAGTGCTGCAGACCAGTGAGCCCTTTAGTTACACATGTGCAACTCCTTGTCTTCCAATTAGCCCCTAGTCACACGTGCATAATATAATTGTCTTCACACTGTTGCAAAAGTGAAAGCCATTGGAAGTTAGTGAACTCTACTATTGATGATGGACAAAATGGAACAGAATCCAGCTCATGCTCTCTTAGCTGTGTTGGGCTTACAGGGTTAATGGGAATAAAAAGGAGTAAGGCCCAGAGGCCACAAAAATATGTAGGCAACTAAGTCCCAGTTTTAGGCTCCACTGTGATCCACAAAACTCCCACTGAACCCTGTAGGTGCCCACATTCCCTCACTGCCTATATTTCTGCCTCTGAGCATGCACACTGCTGCCACATCTGCGTGCCTGTCTTCAAGCATGAGCCACAAACCGGGGGAAGATAGTTGTTTGGCTTGGCTGCCTAACAGGCATGTGGGGCCTGTCTGGTAGGAAGCCTCTGACCATGCCTACTGTAATCCAGTAGGCATGGTCAGAGGCTTCCTACCAGACAGGCCCCACATGCCTGTTAGGTTCCATTCAATGCCTGTTAGGTCCCCCACATGCCTGTGAGGTCCCATTCAAAATCTGACAGGAGGAGGATGTTTTGGTGATATCTAACTTACAGTATTTAGTCCAGTGGTTCGAGCACACTGGATAAATACTTAGAGAGTCATTGGGCCAGAAAGAGGGTGAGAATGGCTTGTGTAGCCTGGTGGTTAGGACACTTATGTGAGAGACCCAATATCTAGCTCCCTGCTCCAATGACTTTTTAATTACTTATCCACAGTGGAAAAGTTTCAACAGGACAGCTTGTGGGAGCCCCACATCAGAATATCGCATAGCTCAGTGGTTAGAGCACTTTCCTGAGAGCTGTAGGAGACTCCTCTTCAAATCCTTTCTCCTGCTCAGTCAGAGGGGGGAAACTGACCCTAGGTCTCCCACATCCCATGTAAGTGTTCTAACCTTTGGGCTATAAAAGTTGTAAGATGGGCACCACCACTAACCGCTTTGCATGCAGTGAGGCAGGTGCCTAATTCATTCTTCCAAGAAACACACACAGAGAAGCTGGATATGTGCAGGAAGTATGAGATGGTAATGAATATATACATATACAAATATGGGACAGCACAGACACTCTTGTTTTCAGGAATATTGATTTATAAACTGGTTTGCTGTCTCTTCGCTCCTTTTGTTACAGATGATACTTTTTGAATATTTTCATTTGTCACTAGGTGACATAGTTGCATCTTACAATTCAAAGAAACATTTCACACTCACTATTTTTTCAGTTCTCATCACATATTTCCCCCTTATCAATGATCCTGAACTATGAATATTCCATTAGTTGGAACAACCCAACCTGGAGTTTGAATCTGCTTTTCAGTTTGTACCACTAGGTGGCCCTTTGTGCTCTCGGATGCATGCTGAGGAGTTCAGCAGGTGAATGCATCTTATTGGTTTACTAGCGGCATGATGCCACTGGGCAGCCCTTTTTAAGAGAAAAGCCAGGAACAGTGGAAAGAGCTTTTGTACAGTCTCCCTGTTGTGAGGAAGTGGAAATCTGTGAGCTGTCATTTCAAAACAAATATGAGTGAGGTGAGTGGATAAACCTATTATCTGGGGAGAGAGAGATGTAGGAATCTGAAGCAGGAATAACACCAGTAACAGGGGGAAATGCAGCTTAAGAAAAATGAGATGAGTTTTTTTAAAGTCAATTTAAATCAACGATGGAATGAAAAGTTTGAGAAATGAAGACATTCATAATTGAGTACATCAATGAATACATGTAGTTAACAGGATTATATAATGCTTTGTTTGAATATGTAAAGCACCCAGAGCTAAATATTATACTTTTATAAATAAGATTGTTTGGAAATGATCAGGTAGTTCTTATTTTTTTACTTAATTAAAAACAGAATGAGATTACACAGTACCTTGTAGCATAGCCTGCAGACATATGAAATGTCTGATTTCTGGCTGTGAAATGTGAAATACATCAATTTCTAACAACGACTATTATTAATTCTTGTTATCTATTACTAAGTATAGCTCCATAGGTGTGCATGATACTTTGGAGATATAAAATAAGACAAGCTTTATCATCTTTTAAGGTTTCATTTTATGTTTTTGTTCAATGTAGAAGAAGTGAGCTGAGAGGTCAGTGGTGTAAAAGTTAGATATTAAAGTATAAACCTCATTTGAAAAATGCCTTGTTTGTAGTTTGCCAGTGCTACGAACTGGGTAGCTATTGTCCTGGGAAGGATTACATCTACACTTGTCCTTATAACCAGCAAAGGAAAAATGCAAATAACATCAAGCATGAAAGGACCTTTGTGTATTTCGAAAAAGAAACCTGAAAATTCAGTCACTACACTTACTCTATTTGCAGTGAAAGAGTTTGGCAGTGACAAGCCAATATTTTTATTTTAAAAAGCATATTCATTCCAAATGTCGGGCAAGTTCAGCTAGTAGAACCCTGATTTCTATAGTTCTGCTCTTTACCTCATCCCAAATCAATTGAGTTAGTTGTAATTATGTCTTACTTAGCACTTATTTTTGGAGGCTTCTTTTTTATCACTGTCTTTTTGACAGATGGGTGTTCCTTTCTTGGCAGCCAGGGTAAAATTAACAACCATACAAAGTATGTTTCTGCCTACGGCTATTGCTATGTTTTCCACCATATCTTAAACGACTGACTTGTGATATAAACACAATGAGGAGACATAAGGAGAGACGTAGTATAGTGGTCTTTGCAAAAGGGTCACACGGCAGGCATATTTCCATTCACATTATGCATACCTGAACAGGCTAACAAATGGGGAATCCTCCTGATGTGTTCCTGCTATGTGTAATGTGCATAGAATCCTGAGATAAGGCATCAGTAACCCCACAGCCTTTCATCTGCTGATTGGATGTCTACATTTGAATAAACTGGATACCGTTCATATTGTAGCTTTTATATACAAAGTATCCCTTTGTCACATGCATTAACAGAAATGCTTTGTCTGCTATGGCATCATTATTCTGGTAAAATGTTAACTTTTCCTAATGTAAAACGATGACAGGTTGATTATTATTGTCTACATCTGTATCATGCCAACGCAGTTTTGTATTACATTGCCGTTTCAGCAGCTGTTCGTACAGAAGTTCACAGTACAATAGTTTACATTAAGTTCCCCTCTTTGACGTAACCTCTCCTTTCTGTAATCAATAAGCGAAGAGTTCCCATGAGCATCAAAGTCATCACATATATACAACAACTGGGATCCCATATTTTTATTAATATACTTCCCTGTCCCACACAAAATAGCACTTCTAGCAAGTCCCCATCACAGAGGATACTGCTTTCCTTCCCAGTACATTTCTCAAGCCCCTGCCGAGTGTCTATTTAACAATTTTTAACTCTATCATTGATGCTTCGAGGGACAGAGCTGCTGTCATTGTCATACAGAAAATGGTAAGACTTGGAGAACTTATTTCACAAACTGCACTCAGGAAGAATGCCTTTAACTATTCTTTAGTTGATTATTACCCTCTCAGGACAGAAAAACAAATGGATAAACAAAGGTTATCTTAATTAGAAGGGCTCTGGTTAAAAGAACCTAGGCGAAAAGAAAGACTGGCAGAAGACAATCACTTTAGTTGTGTGAGTGTGCAATGTTTAGACTCCTGATGTGGCTTCTGATGGATTTTGTCTGAACTGGAAATGTTTAAGATATATATTTGCACCAGATCCTTTTGTTATCCACCATGAAGTCAGAGGATAATATGACTGAAAAGCCAGACTCAAATATGGCTATCAAATATCCAGAAGTGGGAGAGGGAAAGCAGGGAGGATGGTGAGGATGGTCCAGCGATTGTATTTTTTTATGCTAATCATTGTCACACTGTTACTGGAGCTTAGAATGCAGGCTTAGAGACCCCTGAACTGAACAAAAACGAGACCCTTCAAACCCTATTTGCTGCACCTTGTTTTATTTTTCATATTACTGCTGCACAAAAGTAATCTGTTTTGTTTCCCCTTTCTGGCCACATGATTACAAATCAATTCCTGAAATAAGCTGAAGAGCATAAAATAGTCATCAATATAATCATGCCATATTTAAATGTCTCTACATTTAACATGGTTTTTGGGGGAAGAGATAGAGTTTTTAAAGAAAAAAGCAACAAGACTTTACTGTGGAGTATTGACACCTGCAAATTTGTTTATGACACTAAGGGCTAGATCCACAAAAGTAAAAGGTGCCTAAATGCAAAATTTAGATCCTCAACATGCCTGCACAGCTGCTGCCTAAATTTCCACCACTGAGCATGCACACAGCTGCCTAGGTACTGTAGCCCGGTACCTAGCTCATGCCTAAGAACCAAAAGGATTCACAAACTAGGCCTTCCCCCACCTATCTCGCTTGCTCACAGGTCATCTTAGGCCGGGTATGACTACACTGCAGTTAGACACCCACAGCTGGCCCGTGCCAGCTGACTCAGGCTTGTGGGGTTCAGGCTAAGGAGCTGTTTAATTGTTATACAGACATTCATGCACAGGCTGGATCCCAGGCTCCAGGACCCTGCAAGGTGTGAGGTTCCCAGAACTTAGGTTGCAGCCTGAGCCCAAACGTCTACACTGCAAATAAACAGCCCCTTAGCCCAAGCCAGTGTAGTGTAGACATACCCTGTGAGTACATCTACTGGACTGGGCCCCACAAAAACACAGGAAACAGTGGTTGTGCCCCCATTAATACTCATTGGTCTTGACATTCACCCAGGATGTGTGAGACTGGGGTTCACAATCCCCACTCTGCCTGATGGGGAGCGGGGATTTGAATGGAGGTCTCCCACCTTCTGGAGCAGGGGTGGGCAAACTTTTTGGCCCGAGGACTACATCTGGGTATGGAAATTGTATGGCGGGCCATGAATGCTCATGAAATTCGGGGTTGGGGTGCAGGAGGGGGTGAGGGCTCTGGCTGGGGGTGCGGGTTCTGGGGTGGGGCTGGGGATGAGGGGTTGGGGTGCAGGATCGTGCTCTGGGCTGGGATCGAGGGGTTTGGAGGGCGATCAGGGCTGGGGAAGGGGGATGGGGCGTGGGAGGTGGTCAGGGGTGCAGGCTCAAGGCGGCACTTACCTCAAGCAGCTCCCAGAAGCAGCAGCCATGTCCCTCCTCTGGCTTCCATGTGGAGACGCAGCCAGGCAACTCTGTGTGCTGCCCTGTCCACAGGCGCCACCCCTGTAGCTCCAATTGGCTGCAGTTCCCAGCCAATGGGAGCTGCTGGGGTGGCGCTTGGAGCGGGGCAGCATGCAGAGCCCCCTGGCTGCCCCTACATGTATGAGCTGGAGGGAGGACATGCCGCTGTTTCTAGGAGCCACACGGAGTGGGGCAAGCCCCAGACCCCACACCCCTGCAGGAGCTTAAGGGCCAGATTAAAACATCTAGAGGGCTGGATGCGGCCCCCGATCCATAGTTTGCCCACCCCTGTCATCCAGAGTGGAACCACTTCACCAGGAGGGCTTGAGCTTGCCATAGGGCACTGTTTAGGGTACTCCTGTGGAAGACCTGGGTTCAAGTCCCTGCTCCATAGCGGGCAGGGTTGGGATTTAAACCCATCTCCCACAGCCTGGGTGCCTGCTCAAACCACTGGCACATAAAGGGGGCTCCAGTGCTGCCTCCTCAGGTTTTCTGTGTGTGTGAAAGGTCTGACCTGGCGTAAGCGACTAACTCCAAGAGCAGGTTCATAGCTGTGAATCCTAAGCAGCGATAGGCACCATCGCGTGGTGGGGCTTAGCCCACACACCAGTCAGAAGCATTTTGTATTGGCCAGCTTAGGCAGCTCCCTGCTCAGCTTTTGTGCATTTCACCCAGAGGTGCCTAACTCTCCTCATACATTGTGTTGGGAGCCTGGGCATCTCCTTTGGGGCTTAGGATTCCACCAGGCAGCAGGGTGCCCAAAGTTTGGCATTGCGCTGCTGAGTCAAGTCCTCATTTGGGGTCTATCTCTATGTGTGTATAGGGGAAAAAAAAATCGAGTTACTAGTCACACAGAGCCAGGTATTTAGATGCCTAAAGATACAGAGAGGTGTTGAGGTGGGGAGGACCGGATTTACACTTTGGGCGCCCCTAGGCACAGGGGCTCGGACCCCCGCCACCACCACCATCACCTGTGGCGGCAGAGCACCGTGCAGGCGGCAGGGGTACCCTGCCACTTTTAACGTTAGGTGCCCCACCACCCAGTGCCCCTCTTCCCACAGACACCCCCACTGCCCAGTGCCCCCTGCACAGACCCCGCCTCCCACAACTTCCCAGTGGCCCACACAATCCCCCCACTGCCCAGCGTCCTCCACTCCCTCTGCACAGAACCCGCCCACAATTTCCCCCAGAGATCCATTCTCCCAAGTCTTGCCCCCCGGCGGCACTCACCAGCCCTGCTGGGAGTGATGCTGTCAGCCAGGCTGAGCAAGGAGCCCTCCAGCAGGGCTGCATGGGGCTGTCTGCCCCTCAGCCGGCCCCGCTCCCTGCCAGGACCCAGGAACAACAAAATTTGGATTTGTAGGGCTCCTAGAATACCGGTGTCCCTAGGCACATGCCTAGTGTGCCTAATGGGAAC